ATATCTCTCATGTCTGGTCTCCCTCCACCTGCTGAGGGGCTCGAGGCCTCATCATGTACGCCTCGTCAAATGTGATATCTCTGCTAATAACTATCTTCTTGTCCTGTGGATCCCATAATTTGAAGCCTTTAACTCCATCTCTAAATCCCACAAAGACTGCTTTCCTCGCTCTCGGATTTAATTTACCATTACTGACATGATAATAAGCTGGACACCTGAATATCCGAAGCGACTCATAGTCACTAGCCACCGAACCAAACCAACGCTCCAAAGGAGTCTTCCCGTCTATCGAAGTACACGGTAACCTGTTCACGAGATGGCTCGCATAAACTACCGCCTCAGCCCAAAAGGATCTAGGTAATCCACTCTGTGTCATCATACACCGCACCTTCTCCAGCAAGGTACGGTTCAATCTCTCAGCCACGTTGTTCTGTTGCGGTGTCTCTCGAACTGTGAAGTATCTTCTAATGCCGTGATCCCGGCAAAACTGCAGAAACGGATCACTCTTGTACTCTCTACCGTTATCTGAACGTAGAGTCTTCACCTTTCTACCTATCTGCAGCTCCACTTTCTTCTTCCACTCCACAAAAATATCCAGGACCTGATGTTTATGCTTCATCGGGTATACTCAATTTCTCCTGGAATAATCATCAATGAAAGTGATAAAATAGTTGGCTCCCCCAAGAGATGTGTTCTTGGAAGGACCCCAAACATCTGTGTGAATGTAATCCAAAGTACCTCGGGTGTTATGAACAACGGTGCCAAACTTCACTCTAGTCTTCTTCCCAAGTACACAATGCTCACACAGCTCCATCTTGCAGGTCTTAGCATCTTTCAATAGCCCATGTTTTGCCAATGACTGTAAGGACTTATCACCTGTATGTCCAAGTCTCATGTGCCATAAGGTGGTAGTGTCCTCCTCTGTAGTAATAGAAGCTGCCAGACCCTCTGTAACTGTCTTGCCCTTCAAGTAGTATAGGTTGTTTTTCCTGACACCTCGCATCACCACCATAGAACCCTTCGTGACCTTCACTGTAGCATCCTCTAAGATCACTCGATATCCTGCTACCTTCAAAATCCCAAGAGAAATGATGTTCTTCGTCAACTGCGGCACGAACCTCACTTCCTTCAATTCCCTCACTACACCATCATGCATCCTAATCCGGACTGAACCAATACCACCAATAGGACATACGTGATCATTACCCATAAGCATGACATCCCCTCTTTCCAGTTCCTCAAAGCTAGAAAACCACTCTCTCTTAGGGCAGATGTGATATGTAGCTCCCGAATCCATCATCCACTCCGTGGAATCCGCATAGCAAACCGACGGTAATGCAGGGCATGAATAGCCTGAAGAATCTGAATCTGAATGCTCACCAATAGCTTTTGCAACATTCACTTCTGAAGCTTGAGCAGCTTTCCCCTTATTCTTCCCGGTTTTTGCTTTCCACTTTGGGTAGTCAATCTTCTAATGTCCTTCTTTTTTACAATACCGACATTGATTTCTACCAACACTCTTATAGGCACTCATATTCCTTGATTTTGAGCGGTTGAATTGGCGACGGTTTGGATCTCGGCCTCGAACTGCTAACGCATCTCCCGATGCCTTCTCGGAGGGTTCACTATCACTCTTCCTCAACTCATAGTTCACCAAAGCTGAGGTCACCTCCTTGTAGCTGACTGTAGTTCTTCCATTGATCATAGTGAGAACGAACGTACCATAATCATCTTCGGGCAACGAACACAGAAGTAGCATCGCCTTGTCTTCATCCTCAACTATAATATCAACATTGACCATATCTGAAAGTAGCTTAGTGAAGTTGTTGACATGCTCTCTGATGGAAACTCCCCTCTTCATCTTGAACTGGTAAAATCTCTTCTTCAAGTAAAGTCGATTCTCAATTCTCTTCGTAAGATATTTCTCATTGAGTGTTTCCTACATCTTCTTCGCCGACGTCTCGTTCATAACATCATAAATAAGATCCGGCGTCAAGAATGACCTAATAACACCACAAGCTCTACTGTTCATCTTTCTCCAAACCTTATCCTCCAACTCTACGGGTTTCTCTTTTAATTCAAGAGTCTCCTCCAAATTCTGTGCATCCAAAGCATCCATCACCTGACATCTCCACAATCCGAAATTGATCTTGCCGTCGAACTTCGGAACATCAATCTTTGTGTTATTGATGCTCAGACTCTGTATCGCCTTTGTAAGAGACGAACCTGACGTGCTTGCATCTCCCATGTTGTCGATCTAGCTCTGATACCAATTGTTGTGCGCGGCGGAAGCTTTCTCGTGCAACACGAACAATAACTCGAACTAAACCACAAACAATATGCAAACCACAATCACAGCAAGAACAAGATATTTACGTGGTTCGGCAAGTTGCCTACGTCCACGGGGCAAGGAGGGGGGAGTTCTAACTATTAGAAATCAGAGAATACAAGTAGGATTACAAATCTCTCAGATCAAACCCTAAAACAAAGCTCTTGATCTCTCACAACTCTCTCACAATTGGATGCAATAATTCTCTCTCAAAAGACTGCTCAAATTCGTCCTTTCTTAACCCTAACAAAACAGGTTTAGGGATATATATAACTTACAAAACGAATCGGGTCAAAAACCTGAAGCCCAGCCCAGAAACATCGTCGGTCGACCGCGCGGTCGACCGCCACCAGATCCGAAGACTACCAGGATTCGTGCACGTTGGCGGTCGACCGCTGATCTATCTGTCCTCTACCTGCTGATTTTTACCTGTTTACTGTAATTCTTCAGTGTGCATCTCCAACTTTTTATTGGAACGGCTGTAATGTAGAAAACCTATATTTTATAAAATTATCAACATTATTTTCACAACCATACGAAAATAAACGTGTTGCATTTCCAACAACAACAACAAAAAATCATCGTAAAAGCAGTGGAAGAAAACCTTAAAAAATGAAGATGGCTCTCCAAATTTATTACAACTAAAAGATTAGAATGAGTAACAAAAAAGTAAATATTTGAGAAGAGAACCTTATAAGGCAGAAGAACTAACTAATTGGGCTCGGGTAGCCTCAAGATATCATCAACATGGTTATTTATAGGGTGAAAGATTCAATTCTCCAACTTGGTCAGTAAGAAAATTGATGAATCAAATAATTGGTATATATGGAAGAAAACTAACGCTCGAATTTGCTCCTCAAGCTAAACCATGACATTGAACTTAGGCATGTTGATATGTGGATGCATTGTATTTTAACTTTCCCATGCACAATTTCCCAAAATCAATACTATATCCCTAAAAATATTGTTACTTTGATTAATATTTATATGAATGAACTTGATGAGAGTTTGTCAATATGTTATGTAGGAGACATTATAGATTGAGTGATGAACATGAAAATATGAAATATGTTTCCTGAGATCAATGTGCATATGAGCTCCATGTATACATACTTTCTTTATATAGCATGGGAAAAAAAACTAACACAACCACCTTTGGAGTCTATAAATGCATGACAAGGTTCTTCCATGTAATCAACCAAATAATCTTTAGTCATTAGTAATCCGTAGTTTAATTAAGATAGCTTTTTAAATAAGTTTGAGCATTGTTTACATAACCACGAAAACTTTTTAAATATTAACCCTTCTATAAGTTTGGGAAGTTCAGAAAATTGCTAAAACATTTTAAAAAATTTCTCAAGTAACTTGCAAAATGGTGTTATGCTATATTATTTTTTGAATGAAAATGCCCTCAAAAGCAAAAATTATCCCCTCCTCCTCGCTAAAAAACCATCAAGAAAAATGTAACTACTAATTTTATATAAAACAAAACAATAAAAAAAATAACTTGAATGTTTTTTAATAAGTTGTTTTAAGTGGAGGAATGTATTTTGGATGGGACTCTCTATTTTCGTGGGAGGACTAATGTACTATCTTCAAAACCATAATTTTAAAATTTTGACAGTTAAGTGACAAAACTCACTAGATTTCTTACAAAAGTTATTGGAAGTATTTTAGCCATTTTAACGAACGTGATTTGCCAATGACTCATCTTGTTAATTTTGTGTGTTTTCTGACGAAACTTATCAGAGCATCTCCAACCCAACTCCAAAAACCCAAAATAGAGCAAAAACTGCGCCAAATCTTCCTCCAATCGGACTGCAAATTCAGCGCCATTTTGATGAGGTGCTACAGTGTTGCGCCAGATTTGGCGCAGCACTGTAGATATGAAGATTTTGGTTTTTCCCAAGTTTACCCTTATAGTTTGTTATAACAAATCAAATATTCCAACTATATCCCAAGATTTTGGTTTTTCCCAAGTTTACCCTTATAGTTTGTTATAACAAATCAAATATTCCAACTATATCCCATTTTATAGTTTGTAAATAAAATGATAGTTTGTTATAACAAATCAAATATTCCAACTATATCCCATTTTATAGTTTGTAAATAAAATGAATATTATTTTTGGTGTAATGGTTAGAGATGGAATAGTGATTTGGTATAAAAACTACACCAACTTGGTGTAAAAACTACACCATTTTAGGTTTTTGGGTTGGAGATGCTCTCAGAGAGGCTAAGTGTCATTTCCAAAAAAATTTGGTGTTTTGTCACAAACATCTAAATTTACTGGAGATTTTCAAAAAAATTTGATAGTTTAATTATAGCAGACCCCTTGTGCTATCACTCAATTTCGAATAGCTCCCCTGTCGTTTTATTTGAGTGAATAGGCCGCCTGAGCGAATTCTTTTGACTCTAAAAATCGTTAAAAATGTTCGGCAAAGTTTCACTAAAAATACGTATTGACACGCTTGTCCCAATACTACATGCGGTATATTTGACACACGTAGAACTACAGTGATCTACTTAAAATGGGTGATAGTACATTGGCAATTAACCCTTTTATTTTATTTTATAGTCCAGAGAAATACACATTTAAGATATTATTCTAAGAAACCCCCCAATTCTTGACCACGTTACGAAATTTACCCTCAAATTATATCCAAAAGTACCCCCCCCAAAAAAAAAATCCTCCCTTGACGCTCCTCGGCAATCTGACAATCCCCCTCGATCGGCGAGGCTGCAACGGGCGCAGGTATGAGCAATCTAACCCTAGATTCTCAAATCGTGATGAAAATTACCTTTTTTCTCATTCAATTTTGACCCAAAGGCGAAATCCATGGTCGTTGACATAGATCTAGGTTCGTTTTCCAATGTTTTTAGGCTCATTTATCATGTTTTTTTTTAATCGTTTAAAGTAGGCTTCAGTAGAGGCTCATCTGAATTGGATCTGAAAAATTTGGGATTCAGTGTCCAAATTAGGGATGCTTTTTTTTTCTTTTATTAGATTAGATGCAAAATTGATGACTAATGCGCACTTGAACTTTTATCTTGGTTCTCGAATCCCATGAATCAAAGGGAAAGTTTAGGGTTCCCATTAAAGTTTGGGTGAAGAAAAGATTGGAAATTTGTTAAAAGACATGGGCCTATTTTACTAGAATCAATAAATTGGGTTCCTACGAGTTTTAACTCTTGAGATAATTTGAAGTGGAGTCTACACGACATGTTAGCCTTCCGTTGTACATTGGAAATATGTGTTTCTGCTGTAACTGTGCATTTGTTAAGCAAGCTAGACCTAGCCATAAGAGGACATAGTTTGTATTCGTGGGATGAAGATTGAACTCAAATTCTTGTTTACAGATCACACGCATTGGAAATGAAGCATAGAAACTGTGTGAAGGTTATATTCTACAACTAAACTTTACTCAAATGATTGGGAAAGAAGCCCTCAAAATTTTTCTTTTCTGCGTATACTAGAAGCTTGTGCCTATTTGCCACGGAATCACTAGAACAATTTTACAACAGTAGAAATGAAGAGCACCTAAGAAACGATCATTGAAGTTTAGTTGTGCGCTATATACTGTTTTTGGAACATATTTGAACGTATTCATATAGGATTAATGTGGCTTGATGTGTTGTTAAGTATTCAGCCAATCAGTTAGGATATGGGGCGTAGTGTTGGTGTGCGTTGTAGGGCTCTTGACGTGTGTCACTTGAGCTCACACCAGGCCCTTGTTTGGTTATTGAAGCAAATGAAAGTGAAAAGTAAAGTCGGGAGATAATTCTATGCATTAAACATAATTGAAGTTAATTGTTGCAGTTTTTTTTTTTTTTTGCTGGTAGGTTCTATATATGAAGGCATGCCAATTTCTAATCAAATTTGTACACTTCAGGACTCAATTCGGCGGCTTCTCCTTGAAAAATGTTGCAGAGCAAGCAAGCAGAGGAATCCTTTGTACCATTGTTTTGTGGTCTTCCCGATGACCTCTCCCTTCTTTGCTTGGCTAAAGTTCCCCGTCGCTACCATCATGTTCTTAGATGTGTTTCAAAGAGATGGAGAGCCTTTCTATCAAGTGAAGAATGGCATTTTTGTCGTGGGAAGTACAGTTTAGAGGAGGCTTGGATATACGCCATGTGTAGAGACAAATGTGGACACAACTGCCTGTACGTATTGGATCCAGAAAGGCATAGCTGGAAACACATCGATACCATCCCATCTGCATGCTTAAAGAGGCTGGGCATGTCATTTGAAGCTTCAGGAAAGAAACTTTATCTATTGGGTGGTGGTGACGGCTGGGATAAAGATTGTGCAGATGATGTTTTTTGCTATGATCCTTCTGCAGAGAGGTGGAAAGAAGCTGCTAGAATGCCTACTGATAGGTATCTGTGGTGCTTATATTCTTGTCTACTTGTTATTGTAACTGCATCTTCCAATCAGAAATATCCTATGTTGCATGGACAACTATATCATGAAGCCGTACCCGTACCTGACACTTCTTGTACCTATAACAGACACCGAGACTCCTTGAATAGTTTTTGAATGTACCCCTACCTGACACTTCTTGTACCTATAACAGACACCGAGACTCCTTGAATAGTTTTTGAATGTATGCATATCTTTATTCAGAAGCATACTAAAATATATGATACATGTTTAAGTTTAAAACCATCGCCACAACACTTTTTGGTTACTAGAACACTTTGATTTTCACTCTTTGATGCATCTAATATTATCCAAGTCCATGCTCTTCCTTTCTATGTATCACCGCTCTTTTTTGCTTCCTTCCTTGCTAGTTTATATTTCTCAAATTTTTTCTTACTCCTGCACTTTTGCCAGTCACACTTTAATTGATTTTTTAACTTCTTTATGTTATTACCAACTCTCTTTACCATCTAATCTAAAACTCTTAGATGATTCTGGTATATATTTAGCCACCTTCTTAATACAAGAAGACATACTACTACACATAATATTAGTCTTGTTATCTATATTCCATACATCTCCTTCATCATCTTATCTTTCAAATGAACTACAAGCTTTCCTTTTTAAGTTCCACCATTGAGTTCTTAGTCTATTGTTCCTATTAGTTTTTGTATTTCACTTCTTAATAGCAGTGTCTAATATCATCAACCTATGTTGTGTGGTTAAACTCTCTCCATGTATAATTTTAAGATCTTTGCATGTTAACCTACCTACCCTTCTAGTAAGATAAAAGTCTATTTGATTGCTATTAGAACTACTTTTAAACGTTATAAAGTGTTCATTCATTTTCCTAAATTGTATATTTACTGTCATTAAATCATTCGACATAACAAAATCTAAAAGCCTTTCTCTCATGTCGTTCTTATCTCCATAACCAAAACCTTCATGTATCTTCTCATATCCATTATTATCCTTGCCAACAATGTCCATTAAGGCCTTCCACAAACAATTTCTCTCCTACTAGAATTCCCTATACCAATGCATTTAAGCTATACCAAAATTCCCTTTATTCTAGGACAATCCTATTTTTGGTGCATAAGCACTAACAAAATTAAGAAGTTAATAACCTCTACTCTAATCCAACTTTTATTCGTATTATTCTATCTCCAACTCTTTTTACATCTACAAACTATCTTTTATTATGTTTTCTACAAGTATTCCCACTGTATTCCTATCCTCCTTTTCTCCCATGTACTAAAGTTTATATCTAGTCTTTTCATTTTCTCTAGATTTTTTACCTATCCATTTAGTTTTTTGTAAACAAATTATACTAATCTTTCTACTAGTCATGATATCTACTAATTCTATCGTCTTTCCGGTCAGAGTACCTATGTTCCGTAGTTCTTTTCTAAAAGTTTCCTGCCCTTTTCTTGCTCCATAGATTTTTTCTAAAAGTCTACTGCACTTTTTCTTGCTTGTGACATTCTAATCTATGCCTAGTACTTTTTGGCAATCTATTAGAGGATTGTAGTTTCTTAAAACGTCATTGCGTACTTGTCATTACACCCAGGTGACATTGATGTAATGCGTAGCTTCTGGGGAACACCCTAGCAAACCGTCATTGCCTACTTATCATTGCATCGGGGTGGCATAGATGCAACGCGTAGCAGTGGGGATGCCCTCATTGAATGTTCTATAGGATTCATCATGTGTATGTAGTTAAGAAACGAGCAGATTTCCAATTTATCATATATAGCAATATTTTATAAAGTACATAATAAAGAAACGTAAAAACGTTATAGGAACTTTGATTCTCATGACATGTGAATGAAAAAATAATATCTACCTCATGCAAATTATTAACTTCAATGTGTGTATGTGCGCATGTGTGCGTGTCCCCTACCTTTTACAAATTTTTCTTGTCTTTCACCTGCACCCATGCCCATGCAACATAGGAAATATCGAACATTATGTTCTTGAGAAGCCAAATAATTTAGTTCGTCATTATGAAAGCTTATTTGTTATTGTTTGAAGATTTCATTGCATCAAACTACTTTGTCCATGAAATTTGATGTAGTGATGGACAAATTACATATGAGTGGATTTGGGGTTGTGGTGGTGGAGTAGGAGAGTGGGTTATGGAAGGCAAGTGGGTGGGTAGAAGGAAGAGTAAAAAGAGAGGAGAGAGAGAAGGATATTATTGGTATTTAAAACAAAAGTGATGTAAGAAGGGGTCGAGGAAAGCTTTACAATTGTTGGGTTTTATCTCCTTTGATTAGTCAAATTTGGGGAGGTCTTGAAAATATATAGGGGTGGAAGCATTTCTTTTCCCCATTTTATAAAAGAAAAGCTACAATTGGCACATTTTCGTTTTCAATAGGGAACTGATTCCAAACCAGACTAAAGAAAATCTCAAATTTCAATGCCTCAGGAAAACATTATTGATTACAACCTTGCTAATGGCATAAATCTACCAAGACGGTTTGCAAGGGTCAAACATATAAGCATACAACCACCGTGATTTTATCCCACGTTTTTGTGGTCGGCTGAATCCTATTTTTCTATTCAGTTCTACTAAAGTTAAGTTTATCTGCTCCCGTAAGTTTATCATTATCATATCCATCAGATAAGCACATCCAATTTCCTTTGTGTAATTCCAGGTGCTTCTTTCTGTCTGCAGCTGTGGACAACAAAATCTTTGTCACAGCTGGCACAGGATCAGGCTCTCCGACTAAACTCAAAGAATGGGATATCTACGACCCAATATCTAATAGCTGGAGATCCGAAAGTAATCCAATGCCCATTTCAGACCGTTTGAAATCCACTTGTTTCAATGGCAAAATATATACCTTCCACAAAACATGGTACAACAAAATATATGCCAGAGTCTATGATCCGCTAAGCAAAAAATGGGAAGATATCCACAAAGAAATTGCGTCGTGCCAATTTGGGCCAATGGTAATAGTCGATGGAACTTTATACATGTTGGATGAGACTTCGGGGACAAGGCTAATGATTTGGGATCAGGAATATCAACTCTGGGTCCCACTTGCTCGGCTCTCCTTGCAGCTGACTAGACCTCCGTGCCAGCTGGCAGCCATCGGCAGGAAAATTTTTATTATTGGTACAGGGCTGAGTACTGTGGTGGTTGACGTGGATATGGCTGTGAATGCTAGGGGGATATTGGTGACCTCTTCGTTTGCTCCTCGTGATGTTGATAATGTTGATATTGTTGGTTGTAAGGCCATTGCCATTTAGACTTCAGCTCGTGAAAGACTCAAAACTTCCTCAGGAGATGGTTCTATTGTTGTCTGATGACAAGCAGCCGAAGTGATAATGTGTACCTATGAGTAGTTACAAGTAAAAAGAATCTCTTATGGGTGCCGTTCTCTGCAATTGTTGTTATAATTAGCGTTGTAGCGGTTTTTCGATGAAAGAATTGAATCAAGCGTCAGTACTTGCGAAAAATATCGTTCGCCGTGTAGGAGAGATTTGCAGGTATCTGGTGATCAGTAAATCGTGTAGATAAAATGCTAGTAAAGACTTGGCCTGCGAAAAAACTATGACATTTCCGAAATTATTTCTACGGTTGTCCGTCGACAAAGAAGGCGAGCGGGTTGCCATTTTCGCAGTTGTTGTTATGATTCATTAGCGTCATTGTGGTTCTTTTAATTCCTTGCCTTTGCGAATGGCAATGGTTAATCCTGCGGAGAGATTCGCAGTGCTTGTAGGGTTTTTTGTTGCGGTATAAAATCTCTACGGATTGTTCCCATCAGATGTCTTGAATGCTCGAAAACCAAACTCGATTACAGAAAAGAGAGAGAGAAAGAAACAAAGAGGATAGCATTCTACTAGACCCATGAAAAGAAAAATTGAAAAAAAAAATTCCTTGGCCAGAATATTGAGCTCAATAGAACTACCAGCCATTACGCTGAATAAGCAACAAAAAGCTCTTGAAACCCCCAAATATAGCTCTCAAGCAGCTGGTTAAAATTAGCATGTAAGTGTATAAAATCATTCCTAAAGTTAACAGCTATTCTTTTAAACAATCAATCTGTAGAACTTCTCAGGATTGCTCCAAAACGCAAGGAAACGTGTACTTACGTGTGGATCTATTATATAGGTGTATGGTGAATCAAGTGAAGTAAAGTTAATGTAATGTTTTTTTCTTTTTTTTTAATATAGGAAATTTAATGCAATGTTGAGAGGTCATTCCTAAGCCATATATACGTAAATGAAATAAAATATTAAAAAAAAACTTTATTCTGAATTTTGGGGCCGGCTATATGAATTATAAGGTTCCGTTCAATTCTATTACAGGCCATCTCCTCCACTAAATTAAGTTTTATTATATACTTCTTAATTGTTTTCAACCTAAGTTTTTCTAGGTCTACCTCTAGCCCTCTTTTTCCCATTAACTATAGTCTTATCGTTTCTCCTAATTAGTGCATTTAGTGGCCTCCATCGTACATGACTAAACTATTTCAATCAATTCTCTCTCATTTATCCAAACCTTCGTATGAATGCATGCCGTTTCTTTTTTTTTTTTTTTAGTGTATACCCGAAGGCCATCAGAACATTCTCCTTTTTGCTATGCTCATTACTTTTTTTTTTGGACATATATTCTAATAGTCCAACATTCAATGCATACATAAATACAGATTAATTGATTGAGAAGAAACTTGTCTATGAAATATCTGCAATAGGACTTGGATCTAGGACCAGGATACCTCACTAATAAACCACGTTTTATTCAAAATTCCTTTCTTTTGAGTTGTTTTCTTCGATTTGGTTCACCTTTTACAGCAACGAAGTAGATGAAAATTTCCAAAGAATAATCAATGTAGGCCATTTGCATTGCCGAACACATCTTTCATCCTTTAGCAATTTGGGGACTGACATAGAATGTGAAGATATGGGGGACTAATATCAAAATAGTTACGATTATAAGGGACTAATAACGAAAATAAACCCTATGTTAAAGTTACGTTATGTTACACGGCGTGTTTTAACTAAGGATCAGTTTGAAAACTTGGAAATTAATTTGGTTTAGTTTTGATGCAGTTACACTAATCTAGATTAGACTAAACTAGTTTCTTTTGAGCTAGTTTTGAGTTAAACTTAGTTTGGCTAATTTTAGATGAAACTGGTCTAAAACTAAATATTGTTTGGTAACTAAATACACATTTGTATGAAGATAGAGTTCCAATTTGATAAACAAATGTATATTTTTATTTGTCAACTTGGTAATGACAATATATTTTCTCCTTTTCTTTTGTTCTTTTGGGGCCAAATATATCCAGTTAGACTTCAAACCAGGGAACAAATTTTTAAAAGGAACTTTTTTTCAATTTTATATAGCAAAAATGATCTCATCAGAAAATAATCTGCAAAACCGATCCTTTTCTTCGGAAAAGGATCGGTTTTGCAGTCGCGAAGTTTTTCGAGCTACACGGGACTGCTAGTCCCGTGTAGTTTGGTCAGCAATTGAAATGCACGGGACTAGAAGTCTCGTGCTTCTTCTTCTACAATTGCTCCCGAGAGAAGAATGAAATGTACGGGACTGCTAGTCCTGTGCATTTCAATTGCTGGCCGAACTACACGGGACTAGCGGTCCCGTGTAGTTTGAAAAACTTCGCGACTGCAAAACCGACCCTTTTCCGAAAAAAATGATTAGTTTTGCAGATTATTTTCTCATTAGATCGTTTCTACTATATAAAATTGGAAAAAAAGGGTCCTTCTAAAAATTTGTCCTTTTTTTACGGCCCGGTTATGAAACACAGTTGCGCAAGACAAAATCTAGTTTAGCCCAATTTTTTTGCCAAATTAGGACCGAGTTATTGGTTTGGGCTTATTTACCGAAAATTGATTTTAGCATTTTGCCAAATAGGCGCTAAGATCCAAGTCAAAACAATATCGAGAAGATTTTGACTAAATTATCAGATGGATCTATAAAGTTGTACATTTTTACCAATAAGTCATAAAAACCGATGTCGGCGACAATAACACTAAATAAAGTGACACACTTAACCAATAAGATCTATTCCGATCACGGGTTTTTTATTTGAGCGGAAAATTTTAGGACTTTTTGCATATACCTTTCGCATCTCTCATATTTACATATTTACCCCTACAGATTCTACTATTTGCAAAAAAAAATATATCCTTACCTCACCTCCTCCTCTACTTTTTGCATATATACCTCTCAGAGCTCTCATATTTACATATTTACCCATATAGATTCTACTATTTGCAAAAGAAAACATATCCTTTACCTCACCTCCTCTTCTCCCTTCTCCTCCAACCTTACTCCCTCTTCTCAATTTTTCTCCCCCCTCTCCTCACTCTTTTCTACCCCTTCCCTCCTCATCCCTTCTCTCCTCCTCTTCTACTCCTTCTTTCATTTCAGGTAAATATTTGAGGGCAGAGAGGAGAAAAGAGGAAGGAGAGTAGGAGGAGAGTGAGGGAGAAATAAGAGAGAAGTTGAGAAGAGAGGGGAGGTTAGAGATTGGGAAGAGAGGAGGAGATGGTGGAGAGAGAAATATTTGTTTTTTTATAAATAGTAGAATCCGAGGGTATAAATATATAATTTTAAGAGATTTAAGGTGTTTATATGCACAAATTCCTTAATTTAGCGAAGGTTTTAGGATGAAGAGCTGAGGAAAAGCATTAGCCTATTTAACCCATTTGTTAGCCCAAAAAAGTAAATTATTTAGCATGTGGGCTATTTTTTTTTTAGTTCTTTTGTCTTATAGTGCTCGCCAAAATGAAGGTTTTAAGTTTATAATTATTCTCTATATAAATAAAGTGATTATCTATTAACCCACCTAATAAATGGATTAGTAAACTTTTCACTTTGAGAAGTTAACTCATTTTAACCCTCTAGAAGGGGTATTTTAACACTTTTATAATTTTGGTGTTTTCTATGTTAAGAGGGTTTAACTCACTTTGTTAAATTTTTATTTTTGGAAGGTCAAGGAGGAGTTAACTCCCCTTAACTCCTTACTAAATGTACTGTCAAACTAATAGAAAGTATATATAAATGATGACAATATATAATAGTGTTTTAGTTTATTATGAAATGCATAACAGAGGCATCGCATTCGTCTGGGTGGTGTAGTTGGTCATCACGCTAGTCTCACACACTAGAGGTCCCCAGTTCGAACCTGGGCTCAGACATTAATTTGTTTTTTATTATTTTTAGCCATTTTGCAGTTTTTAAATGCTTTTTTGATGCATGTTAGATGTGTTTAGATTCATATAGTTGAAGCATTATGTTATCATTTTGAGTTGGAAATTATGTTGCCATTTTACAGATTTTAAATGCTTTTTTTGATGCATTTTAAGATGTGTTTAGATTGATTTAGTTGGAGTATAATGTTGTTTCAACAATATCAATGGGTGTCTGGTTGAATGTACTTGCAAGACCAAAATGCTATTGCAACACCAAAATATACCAAAAACGAGTTTGTTGCATCCACGCTCGAATTTTAGAACATTGGAACTGTTGTGCGCGTCGCGGAAGCGTGACAACCAAACGGGCGTGCTTCGAGAACCAAATCAAACAAATGTCGAGATAAAGGCCAAACAAATCAAAACAACGGCACAAATCCAAACACAATAGTTTTACGTGGTTTGGAAGCGTGACAACCGGAACTACCATGCGGATGCAACAACTTGAGTTTGGAACTACACGTGGATCCAACTACGTTAATTTTAACAACATCATCCAACCAAACACACCCCAAAGTTGCCAATCGTACTTAAAAGCATATACTTCACTCTCTTAATTCCTTTACTTAGCATAAACAAATTTTAAATGCTTTCTTAAAAGGCTGAACATATTGTCTTTAGAAAGAGATTATTTTTTATTCTCTCATAAAGGCCCGGGCTTTGAGCCCAGATATTTCTGGGGTCCTTATATCTAACCCACATAAACACTTTCCTGCTTGAGTTTCAGTCCAAACCAATAGCCAAAACTCGGATGCAATTTCCTAAGTAACAGAAGATGCAAACTAACATATACAAACTTAAGCACAGAACAAAAGGGGATGAAAAGAAACTAAACTTATCATAAACAAGAACATCATCAAGAATGTATCAAGCTTTAAACCCAAAGAGTACAACACAAATGAAGCAAAAATAACTGCTCGATATCATAAATATTCCGAAATTAATCCAACCGCACTTCAAACCTCCAAAGACATTTACAATACATATACGAAAAATATAAAGAAGAGCTACGTGACGCTTGACAATCCTCGTCTTTAAATTTTGCCGTGACTATATTATAGGAGTAAAATCATTCGATTTCACCTTTGCAGGGAATATCGGTGCATCGGCAAACAGGTCTACCAGAAGAATGCCAACCATTGAAACCTCGCTCCAAAATCATAACCTTGTTAATCCTTGCATCATCTTTCATTTCCGATAGATAGTCTGCAAACATGCGTGCACAAGATGGGCCCCTCACCTGCATAAAAAAAGGCTGATCATCAATAAACCGAGGATAAGCAACAACGTCAGAATGTATTAAGATTTTCTTTAAACAAGAAGAAAATACTGAGTACTTGATAAGAAATAACTCTTCTTGGCAGAATATATCAGATGGAATTCACATGTAAACTTGTTTGCTGCTTGTTAGTTTCAACTAAAGGGCATCGATAACATAACTAAGTTGTCCATCATATCATCACTTATGTAAACTTCAGTTGTCAAGCTAAAGCTGGGATGGGTTTTCATATTCCAAACTTTCATTATTTCATATGATTGTTATGCTAGCCAATTCAATCAAGATTTCCATAGTAAAGCTTTCATGGAGGTCAAGAACTACTCCATCAAGATTTCCCATAGTTATCTGATGTAGGCAAGACTCAACCACATAAGCCCATAAAAAAAAAGTTTTTCGATTTTGATCATTCTATTGGATATGTCTAAGCATTTCCAATCTCTTGGAATTTTGCACTGATACCCCATAATAGCTAGCAACAAGCTCAACTTCATAAGCTAAGATGCTATGCAATTTAGATGCTGTAGTAAATATATAACCAGTTTCATATAAGAGACAAGGAATTAATTAGACCTGATAGTAAATCTATTCATTTCAGTCTGAGTTTTGACTCTGTTAAGAAAGGATTCAAATAACAAGGAGTTGCTCTTCAACAGAGACAATCATAGAATAATCTCCAATAGAGATAACAACAAAAATATGCTTGATATCCTACTCATTTGGCCCAAGTATCTTTCCTTCTTTCTCTCTCTCTCTCCTTTTATCTTGGTAAAATCCATAGGCCAGTCTTGGACCTAGGACGTTACATAACAGATTCAGATAGCCTTATTTACCAAATTCAGAAGGTTAAAAACACACAGTAAGCAGAGTATTAATAAGGTAATTACTCAAAAAGTTAGGCCACTGATGTACTAAACCCTGCCTATGATGCTAAATAGCAGAACAATATCATTAATGTTTCTTTTGCCCCTAGTTTCAGACTGGCATATCTTTTAGAGAAAGAAAAGCAAATAACGAATATATATCTACAATCACCTTCTATGCGACAGAGGATTAAGGTGTAGTTTTGTACGGTGTAGTTCTGAAAGTATAAGGCATGTCCCTATTCCTCTCAAGGTTAAGACAATGTTGTGGTTAGCTATTAATGGTAAATTGAACAACAAGGATATTCTGCTAAAAGAGGGGAACCGATTATTAACAGCAATTTTGTTCTCTGTGATAGGAAGGAAGATAGTAGTACACATATCTTCATTGAATGTGATTATGTTAGATCTATTTGGCATTCTTTCAAATTTAGATTTCATATGACAATTGAGTTCGAGAATTTGAGAGACTTGTGGAGCTGGTGGAGGATTCAAAAAATTCCTTATGATATGAGATTAAAATGGGATATCCGTGTGGGAATTCTATGGTCCGTGTGGCGTGAACGCAAAATAATAATATTTCAAAATAAAAAACTGCATCCTCTTGAGCTTTTGGAAGAAAATGATTTTTTTTTTGCCAAATTCTGGTTAGGTCATTTACCAGCTAAGTATGGTGGAGCTCGTTATAACCATCGCAAACTCAGAGGTGCTGATGGTGCTGAAGATGCAGAAGCAGCTGCTGCAAGGTTGAACAGCAATTCAGTTTTTTATGTTTATCATGGTGTTTGTTATACACTACAGTTGTTATGGGGTGGGTGTTTGTTTCGTTGTTTGTATTTTTTTTAGTTTGGAGATGTTATGGGTTTTATTATACACTGAGATGTAGTTATATGCTATCAAAATTGGGTTCCCCATCATATTGCGGTCAGGGATGATAGGTTTATATTTGTATCCAGCCAAGTTATAGTAGTAGAAGTGGCAGGGAACTGTAAAGATCTCATCCTTTTCCTCAAAAACAAGATACCCACAATCACCTTGATCCATGCCTTTAATACTTAATGGTTGTAATAAGAAAAAAAGGACTCTTTCACTCACTATACAGTCTATAATTGAGAAATTTCCTTATGTTCCCACTTTATTATCTTTATCAACTGTCTACCAAGGCTTTACATCATTCTGAATGGACAGTACAGATCAGTCTAACAAATCATAGACTAGTAGAACTACCTAATTATAAATTATTTCGGAGCTACAAATGACTTTTATTCTTAATGCACAGTCTACAAGTTAAAGTCCGACCTTGTTTTCAAGGTCCATAACTGAAAGTATGGATGATTCCGTGTATATATTGTTCCCATCTCTATAATTACGCATAGATTAGCAGTTGGCTCAAGCAAATGCCCATGAAAGATATCCAAGAAATCTAGGTGTTGTATCCACAAAAAGGAAACATCTATTTTACGGCGAAAACAGACGCTAGAGATAAAGCATCTATTTCGTCTCCTCAAAAGATTCCTCCTCATCAATAGGCTCGCACTTCCGGATCTAAAACGTAGTCGTCCAATTCTCAACTATACATAATCAGCCACACTTTCATCGCGGAACCTAGAGATAAGCAGCGAGACCTTTAACAAAAAGAGACCATTTTTATTAAGCAGGGAAAATTATTTTCAAAAAAAAAATCTAGAGCTCGCCCGAACTTTACTTTAGAAACTAATTTCTTCTTCCGTCAATTTCCTCCTCAATTGAATCTCGTTTCGTGTCACAGCATAAAATAAAGGGTTAATTGCGCTTTAATGCCCTGGAGGTGCACCGAAATTTAACATGGATATCCTAGAGTTTAAGTTCTGCCCAAAGAACCCAAAAAAAAAAAATTCAAGATGAAGATTAAAGCAACACTTCGACGCCAAATTTCGTGTCCTCCAATTTGCTACAGTTTAATGCCAAATTTCGAAACTTTAGGGTATTGAAGTGCAAGTAACCCTAAAAAGTTTTAAAAAAAAAGTTAGGGCAAAATTGCACCTTGCTGAGGGCGCAATGGAAGACGAGGGTATCTTTGCCCTCGACAGCCTGCAAAAGCTCCGGCATCTTCTCCTCGAACGAATCGCTCGCGTAGTGATGAGAGCCGGCGATATGCGCATCATAGCTCCTCTCCTCGTCCCTTCACCAAATCATGAAGAAACAAAATAATCAAAAAATAATAATAATTGAAGGAATTAGATCGAGCGAGTCGAGTTTTTCTTTTTTTTTTCTTTCTTTGGGGGAGGAATCTTAATAACCTGACATCGACAATGGCGACTGATTTGGTTCGGTTGAGGGAGATGAGCTGAGATGGAGTGATGTAAGAGACGCTTCTCGCCATGGATCTCCCCCTCCCCGCGAAAAGTTGGAAATTTTGGGAGTGGGAATCAACAAAACTCGTGCTTCGATTGGAAATTTTGGGAGTGGGAATCAACAAAAGATATATCTTAACTAACCAAAATTTACAATTTTTTTTTACCTTATTGCATCAAAGCGTAAAAAAACAAAATTCTGAGATATAAAAGTTCAAAAGGTGTAAATTATCTTAAAAAAAATTACCTCGTTTTATTTTTGAACTCAGCTAACTTTTCAAATGTACTCTTGAACTCAACTAACTTTTCAAATGTACTCTTGAACCCAAAACATCGAAATGGGCTTATCTTCAAAACCAAAAAAGCAGTGAATTTATACAGAAAATAAAAGAACAATTTTTCAAAACGGACTGATTTTTTTTTTTTTTTCAAAACCGACTGTTTTTTTTTTTATTTATCAAAATCGACCCGGTTTTGTGATTAGGCTGCTAATCACTATCCTAAATAGTCGGGGTTGGCAACCCCGACTATTTAGGAGGGTGTTAAACCCTAATTAAAGGGTGATTAGCAGGTTAATCACTATCCTAAATAGTCGGGGTTGCCAACCCCGACTATTTAGGATAGTGATTAGCCTGCTAATCACAAAACCGGGTCGATTTTGATAAATAAAAAAAAACAGTCGGTTTTGAAAAAAAAAAAAAAATTCAGTCGGTTTTGAAAAATTGTTCGAAAATAAAACTCTTTAAAGCTGAAATACCAAATATGCCCTCTCGACTTCTCCTCTCTCTTCAATCACCATCACCCTTAAAAGCATCACCGGAGCCCCTCAATTCCCTCCTCCCTCGATCCCACCGAAAACGAGCGCGAACCCAATTCTCGACTCTCAAATGAGAATGAAGAATCAACCCCTTAACAGGAGCACAGATACCCCAAATTTCTGTTGGTGTTTGTTGAAAAAGAAAGGCTGGTGGTTGGTGTTTGTTGAAAAAGAAGACATCAAGAAGAAAAAAAAAAGGAACGCAAAGGCTATATAAACCCCTCACCCCCCCCCCCCCCCCCCCCCTTAATCAATCATCCATCCTCAGCTTCTGAATCTTCTTGAGAATAGTGAGAGAGAGCACTCCTTGAGAAAGATTAGAGTGAGAAAAAAAAATTAGAGAGAGAAAGAGAGTACTCAGTGAGAGAAAATTGAGAGACAATTTTTAGAGTGCTTGTAATATTTCTTCCATTAGTGAAAGATCTGCAGCAGTCCGTGGACGTAGGCAATTTTGTGCCGAACCACGTAAATCTTGCGTGTCACCAAATTTGCGCATTTTATTTCGCTTCCTCTTAAGTCTGGAAATAGGGAAATCTGAGTAATCTCCCAACAACTGGTATCAGAGCTCTGGTTGTGACGTCTGTCAATTTTCTGTGAGATTACTATTCACGTGAATAGTGAATTTCGTGAATAGTGAAATTTTACCGACGGTACCGACTTGTCGACAGAGGTATCTTAATACAAGGTGGTTCGCAGAAATTATCAGAAATGATCCAAAGGAAGTCAGATTCGAGTGGGAGCGATGGCTGCAGACGAAGGGAAGGTGAAAATTGAGAAGTTCGATGGTGCGGACTTCGGCTTTTGGAAGATGCAGATCGAAGACTATCTGTACCAGAAGAAGCTGTATCAACCTCTCTCAGGAAAGAAGCCAGATGATATGAAGGATGAAGAGTGGGCTCTCCTCGACAGACAAGCCCTTGGAGTTATCCGATTGACGATATCCCGCAACGTTGCCTTCAACATAGCAAAGGAAAAGACCACGGCAGGTCTTATGACGGCTCTCTGCAGCATGTACGAGAAGCCCTCTGCCTCAAACAAAGTTCACTTGATGAGGCGGCTGTTCAATTTGCGAATGACGGAAGGCGCATCGACAGCTCAACATCTCAATGAACTCAACATAGTCACAACCCAGTTGAGTTCAGTTGGGATTGAATTTGATGAAGAAGTACGAGCATTGATACTTCTTTCTTCTCTACCAGAAAGCTGGAACGCTACAGTCACGGCTGTGAGTAGCTCATCGGGAAGCAACAAGTTGAAGTTCGATGACGTTCGTGATCTGATTCTTAGTGAAGAAATTCGGCGGAGAGAATCAGGTGAAGCTTCAACCTCCTCAGCTTTACACACAGAGTCTAGGGGAAGAACTTCAGAAAGAAGTTCAAATCACGGCAGATCAAATTCTAGAAGAAGCAAATCTAGATCAGGAAAGAAAGACTTCAAGTGCTACAATTATGGCAAGAAGGGTCATTTCAAGAGGGAGTGCCGGGCACCGAAGAAAAATACCGGCGCACAGGAGTCTGCCAACGTGACCGAGGAAGGAGGCGATGCTATGATTCTAAGCGTCAACAGTCCAATTGAATCATGGATTCTTGATTCAGGGGCATCCTTTCACTCCACCCCATGCCGAGAAATCATGGAGAACTACGTCAGCGGTGATTTCGGAAAGGTACATCTAGCAGATGATGAAACCTTGAAGATTGTTGGCAAGGGAGACATCCAATTAAAATTACCAAATCAGACCACATGGAAGCTGCAAGGAGTAAGACATATTCCTGGTCTTAGAAGAAATTTGATCTCTGTGGGACAGCTTGATGGAGAGGGTTATTGTACAACCTTCTCGGGTCATGAATGGAAGATTACCAAAGGAGCACTCGTCATTGCTCGAGGTAAGAAAAGTGGTACTCTCTATATAACCTCTAACTTAGAGAATATCATTGCAGTAACAGATGCAGATGAAAAATCAAACCTATGGCACCAAAGGCTTGGCCATATGAGCGAGAAAGGGATGAAGACACTTCTGTCAAAAGAAAAGCTACTGGATCTGAAGAATGTAGATGTCGGCCTATGCGAAGATTGCATCTTTGGCAAACAGAAAAAAGTCAGTTTTGCAAAGATTGGCAAGACACCCAAGCCTATGCGAAGATTGCATCTTTGGCAAACAGAAAAAAGTCAGTTTTGCAAAGATTGGCAAGACACCCAAGACAGAAAGGTTAGAATTAATTCATACCGACGTATGGGGACCATCTCCAGTTTCATCTCTTGCAGTCTCACTGTACTATGTTACCTTCATCGATGATTCTACAAGGAAGGTGTGGGTCTATTTTCTGAAGAAGAAATCAGAAGTCTTTGATACCTTCAGAAAATGGAAGGCCATGGTGGAAAATGAAACTGGTTTGAAGATAAAGAAGTTGAGGTCAGATAATGGAGGAGAGTACAAAGACAATAGATTCAAAGAGTTTTGCGCAAACAGCGGGATCAAGATGGAGAAAACAGTTCCCATGACACCGCAACAGAATGGCGTAGCAGAGCGCATGAACAGAACTTTGAATGAACGTGCCAGAAGCATGAGGATACATGTCGGCTTGCCCAAGTTTCTATGGGCTGAAGCTATCAATACCGCAGCCTACCTAATCAACCGTGGACCCTCAGTTTCCTTGGATGGTGGAATACCGGAAGAAGCTTGGAGCAGAAAAGAGGTAAACCTTTCACATTTAAGAATCTTTGGTTGTATCTCTTATGTTGTTTGTGAAAAAATTTGCAGTAAAAGAAATGAAGGAAAATTGATTTGTATTCCTTTAATCTCAGTTACAATTGGATTTCCTGATTACAAAAGAGAAGAGAATGATCTAAATTCTCCCCTTTGTTTAATTCTGGGTTCTTCACGGTGGCAATGAGATGCCTCCCTCGAATGCTCGCGTCGAGTTTGCTTCTCGTTGACGATCCGACGTCTTGTTTCACTGGAACATGATCTTCTCCTCACGAGTTGACGTTGTGGAAAACTTGCGTGGAAAGTTTGAAACTCTGGACGAGTTGATAACTCTGAATGAGTAGGAAACTCTTGAAAAAGAGTTGATTTGAACTGAGAATCGGTTCTCAAGCCAAGGATGAAGAAGCTCTTGTTGTAGATCTCCCAAGCTCCAGAAATGCTCCAAGGATCCTGTTGATGAGCCAAGAAGTTCCAACCGACCGCCCCTTAACTGAATTGATTTTCAGTTATTTATAGGGGATTAAGGGATGTAACCACCTCCTTAATTCGCTCCTAAGTGGGGCTAATGGGATGTAACCGCCCCCTTAAATCACTCCTGAGTGGAGTTGTGATCCCCTCAGATCGTGGGAAACGGTTTTGGAACCGTTCAGCTCGTGTTTGAACGAGTCAAACGCAGGCCCGCGTTCTGGCATGAATTCTGTGTCCAAACGCAATGCCTAAAAGCTTGAACGCAGCATCTGGAAGCTCGGACGCAGCGTTTGGAAGCTCATTTGCAGCGATTTAAGAGCTGCGTTTGGCAGCGGTTCTGAGTTACGTTTACAGCAATTTGGAAGCTGCGTTTGTACAATTTAAGAGCTGCGTTTGGCAGCGGATCTGAGCTGCGTTTAGAGCTAGATGTGACCTACGTTTACAGCGTTTGAAGACTGTGTTTACAGCGATTTGGAAGCTGCGTTGGCGGCCGAATCTGAGCTGCGTTTGCAGCTTTTGGAGCTGCGTTTGCGGCCGAACATGAGCTGCGTTGGCGGCCAAATCTGATCTGTGTTTGCAGCTTTTGGAGCTGCGTTTGCGGCCGAGCATGAGCTGCGTTTGTAGCTTTTGGAGCTGTGTCTGAGCTGCGTTCGTGGCTATGAACGCGGCACATCTTGATGCTGGTACGCGGGGAGGACTTCCACGTCTTGATTTGAAGAGACCGTCGATTTGTAGTCTCTTTCTATCGAAGTTTTGCAAAGATCGTCATTTTGTAATCTTTACTAGCAGAGCGCATGAACAGAACTTTGAATGAACGTGCCAGAAGCATGAGGTTACATGCCGGCTTGCCCAAGTTCCTATGGGCTGAAGCTATCAATACCGCAGCCTACCTAATCAACCGTGGACCCTCAGTTCCCTTGGATGGTGGAATACCGGAAGAAGCTTGGAGCAGAAAAGAGGTAAACCTTTCACATTTAAGAATTTTTGGTTGTATCTCTTATGTACACATAGATTCTGCTGAAAGAAGTAAACTTGATGCCAAATCTAACAAATGTGTTTTTGTTGGTTATGGTGGTGATGAGTTTGGTTACCGATTTTGGGATTATGAAAATCGGAAGATCATCAGAAGCAGAGATGTCATATTCAATGAGAATGTGATGTACAAAGACAGATCAACTGCAGAATCAAGTAGCTCTAGTACAAAAGCTGAAACAAAGGAATTTGCTGAATTTGAGGAGATTTCTGAAAAAGATGTTCAGACTAGCCCTGAAGCAGTTCAAGAAGAACCAAGCACGCCAGAAGTGAGATGCTCCTCCAGAATTCCTAAGCCAACCCAGCGTTATTTGCCTTCTTTGCACTATCTGTTGCTGACTGACAGTGGTGAACCGGAGTGTTATGACGAAGCAATGCAGGTGGAGGATTCAGTCAAGTGGGAGTCTGCTATGCAAGATGAGATGGACTCGTTCATGTCAAATCAGACATGGGACTTAGCTGAATTACCACAAGGTAAGAAAGCTCTTCATAACAAATGGATTTACGGGATCAAAGAAGAGCATGATGGGAACAAGCGCTACAAGGCAAGATTGGTTGTCAAAGGCTTTCAGTAAAAGAAAGGTATTGACTATAAGAATTTTCTCCCCGGTCGTGAAACTGACTACAATCAGACTGGTGTTGAAAATTGTAGTTGCTGAGAATTTACATCTTGAGCAATTAGATGTAAAAACAGCTTTCCTTCATGGTGATTTGGAGGAGGAGATTTATATGAAGCAACCAGAAGGCTTCATAAAGGCAGGCAAGGAAAATCTAGTATGCCGTTTGAAGAAAAGCTTGTATGGATTAAAACAAGCTCCCAGACAGTGGTACAAGAAGTTTGACAACTTCATGGGCAGCAACAGTTTCACTAGATGTCAAGCAGATCATTGCTGCTATCTCAAGAGGTTTGACAATAGCTTCATTATTTTATTGTTATACGTTGATGACATGCTCGTTGCAGGATCAGATCTGCAAGAGATTATAAATTTGAAGCAGAAATTGTCAAAGCAGT